CTCAAAGAATTGCACTTTTTTTCTGGTCATTACAAAGCTTGAAAAGTGTCATATAAGCCCAACAAGTCCTGGAAATAAAGTCAAGCAAAAAGCTTTATGAAAACAAAGCAAATTCAATGCAAATTCAAGGCGTCTGAAAAATAGAAGTTGATTTAGCTTTTTTTAAACCATTTCACCCCATGAAAGGCAATAAAGCCACGAAGACAGAAGGGGGTTACTGTTTATGAAAGAATAAGAAAAAGAAAAACATTATTAAGGAGAACAATAAAAGAAGAGGAGTCAAGAAGAGAGTTGATAACGATTGACATTGTATTTAAATTTTAGAAAATGAAAATTGGCTGGAAAGCAAGAAGCCGGACGAGAGTTCCACAAGTGAAAAGTACGAGAAAAGAAATTGTTAGCAAAGAAGATACGGTTACATCTAGACAATTCAGCTGTAAAATGATGAGATTAAACATTAAAAGCGCAATTTATTTATCATGCTTATGAAAACGCTTTTAATCAATATTAAGGGTTTTTATCTTTCCCGGGCAATTGTTGGTTTTCTTTAAAGTTCTTCTCTATTCATCTCCAATTATATCATCCTATACTTTCACTTTCACTTTCACTTCTAAGGTTTCATAGCTTTTGTATTTTTTCAATCCAGCTAGTATTTTCATTTTGTTCTTTATTGTCAGACGAAATTCATAAAGTCTAATTGTCATAGAGAAAAGTTCACCAGAAGAATTACCATGAAAAATATTTATATAAAAAGCCGTGGAAAGGTACATTAAAGTGATTGAAGCCGAGATGCCATGTCAAGACCAATAATACTGCAGATTCTTCTTTGAAATGTATGAAGAATTTCTAAATATATTGCAGGAGTCCCAGATCATAGGTGGCAGCGATATTCAAAGGACGGACGAATGGTAAACTTAAAAATATGTAAAATAGATTCTGGCAAGGAAAATGGTATAGCACGACACAGGGAAGCAACTTTCCTAGCAGCAAACCTAGCAATTGATTAATTTTACCACTTCCGAGAATGCTATCTCGAGAAGGTGAAACTCTTCTGGGGGTTAGCATCAGACATACTGATGAAAAGCAGAAAGCAGTCTCTCACATGATTAATTTGTTTTGTATTGGAGGCATCGAAATGAAGAAGCCAATCTTTGTTCAAATTAACAGCAGATTTTATGTCACTTTTTAGATCAGATATTTTAGGAAAACACTTCTATCTATCTATCTATCTATCTATCTATCTATCTATCTATAAGAAATATAGTTTTAAGGTGTGCAATATTTATGGGATGAAGTACTCAATATCAGAGATAGAACGTATGTAAAACAAACAAAACTCGAAAAGCAATAATAAAGATTTTCAAAAATAACGGTTTCAACATAAACATAAAAACTAACCTAAACGAAGTAGATTTCCTAGATGTTGCCTTCAACCTAAGAAAAGGCACATATAAACCATACAGAAAACCCAATGATAAACCACTGTATAAATCACACATCTTCCAATCATCTGCCTTCTATAATCAAACAAATACCAAAATCGATTAACTGCAGGCTTTCCGACAATTCTTCCAATGAAACCATATATAACGAAACTAAGAAAGACTACGAAGCAGCCCTAAAAGATAGTGGATTCCAGGCAACACTCACATACTCACCACAGAGCACAAGCAAGGCCAACAGGAAGAGAAATATCATATGGTTCAACCCACCGTACAGCAAAAACGTAAAAACAAACGTAGGAAAAATATTCTTCAAACTCTTACACAAATACTTCTCGAAATCAAGCACTCTCCAAAAATATTCAACAAAAACACAGTAAAAATCAGCTATATTAAACATTACACAAATAGTAAAAAAGCACAACAGGAAAACTATCAACACTCAAACAAATTAAACCCACGTGTAACTGCAGAATAAAGAATGTCCCTTAAACGGTAATTACTTACAAAACAACGCAATATAACAAGCCACGATAAATTCACCAGATTATGAAGAAAATATACATAGGAGTAACTGAAGGATCCTGGAAACAAATAAACTATGCACAAAAAACATCTTTCACAAATAGTAAATACGCGAACAGCACAACGCTTTCTAAATATATCTGGGAAATTAAAACAAAAAGCAAATCACACCAAAAATATCACAGAAAATAAGGAAAAGAACATCAGCCTACAACAATCAGTCCAAAAATTGCAAACTTTGCTTGGAGGAAAAATAGCTGTTATTACCTTACCAGACCAAAACTAACTACTAAATAAACGATTAGAGCTCATCTCAAAAAGCAGACATGAAAACAAATTTTTACTACGTTACTTAAAACTCAAAAACTGAAAAGCATAAAAAATAACAAATTAAATAAATAAGAAAAAACAAGTAAAATAGATTAATACAAGCAAATAATAACAAATTAACAAACCACTCCCGTCAAAATAACCGTTAGAATAGACTATAACAATCAATCCAAAAATTGAACGAAAAATAGCTATAATTACCTTTCCAGACCAAAACAAACTACTTAATAAAGGATGAAAATGCCTCTAAAAATTTTTACTACATCACTTAAAAATCGAAAACCGAAAAGAATAAATAAAAATATATAACATGAAAATAAATAAGAAAAAAACAACTAAAATAAATCGATCCAAATATATAAATAAATAAATAATGAACAAATTAACAAACCACTCTCTCCAAAATAATCGTTCGAGTAGACTACAACAATCAATCCACAAATTTGGACGAAAAAATAGGTATAATTACCTTCCCAGACCAAAAAGACTACTAAATAAACGATCAGAACTCATCTCAAAAATGTTTTTACTACGTTACTAATAAATCGAAAACCGAAAAGAATAAATAAATATATATAAAATAAATATAAATAAATAACAAGTAAAATAAATTAATACAAATAAATAAATAAATAAACAACTACTCCCGGCAAAATAACCGTTATAATACACTACCCATAATGCACCACTGACCCGTATATATAAATATTCGAGAAAAAAACAACATATTTGTCCTGATGATTGCATTTAGCATGGAACAGTCTGACACCTCTGAGTGTTAACTTCAATGTTCACTTATATATATATATATATATATATATATATATATATATATATATATATATTGTGTGTTCAGCTTCGCTTCAAATATAGTTATCCAATTTCTGCTTATTTGTCCTTCATAGGCTGTTGTTCATTTCTTTATAGGTAGTTTTATGAAAAATATTTCTTAGACAAGGCGTAACAATTGTTTTTTTCTGACAAGAAATCCTTTTTGTTGTTTATAGTATTCCAATTGCTGTGCCCTGCGATCATGTAAATGGCATTTGTCAAAGTTATGTTGTAGTAAGTACAACACTGAAAATTAAAGCTTTGAGATTCAATTTATATGGCATTATCGAGTAATCTCTTCAGTACACCAAGTGTACAAATAAGTACCCTATCAGATCCAGTTGTCAGAAAGGCTTTATTAAGAATAGACTTTAGACACTGTTCGTTTAAAATTCTTAAAGTATATCATTTGAAGGGTTTTTAGAAAAAGACATCAGATTCGTTTTGGACATTGTGTGTTCAGTGGGGGTGGGGTGCTAGTTCTCCGGGATTGTTAAGGGTTAAAGAAATATAGATACCATCAAGTTTCCTCTTCATCTGCAAGGATATTCAGGGGGATATCAGTGATAGATATTCCATAGCATCTGTCTATATTTCTGAGGTGAGGTATTATGTACACTATTTACATTATTCGGACTATTGTCCTCATCTTTGTTGCCATATTTATCACAACGTTTCGGACCTTCAGTATCTGTCTATATTTCTGAGATGAGGTATTATGTAGACTATTTACATTATTCGGACTATTATCCTCATCTTTGTTGCTATATTTATCACAACGTTTCGGCCGTTGTACTCTCCGGCCTTCTTCAGGTGGTTGGAATGTTTGACTGAACCCTTTATTTCGCTCGCTGTGGTAGACTGTTCTAGTTCCACGTGCCATGTCTAATGGGTGTCAGTTATCAGTTATCTCCTGTTAATTCACCTCTCCAAGTTCTCTACTGTCTTAACCAGGTATTGAAGTCACACTGTCACTGGATCTACCCGACGCCTTTATTCACTGTGCGTTGGTTAGAAATAGAACAGTCTACTCCAGAACGTTGTGATAAATATGAGGGCAATAGTCTGAATAATGTAAATAGTATTCCATAGCAGTTCAGCAATGTTTTTCTTTATTTCTAATTGAACTTTCTTATTTCTTTTGTTTAGAAATCAAGCTTAATGTTCGCAACTCTCTTGAATATGATAATCTTTGACCAGAATTGGGCAGAAAAATTTGTTGGTGAAATAAAATATTTTTCTCGAAATAAGCCGACGAAAAAAATCAGTAATTTGAAGAAAAGAAGAAAGATCGATTTGATAAGTAAAGATTTCAGAGCAGCTGCTAGTCACTTTTCTCAAGGATTTTGATTGAATTTTCAGAGACAAAAAGAGTTTTTCATCTATTTTTATTTTGTCCCTTTCTTACGAATATAACCAGGAGGTCAAAAGGCGTCCGTGTCTCTTGAAAATATATTACTCCACTAGAGTGAATGGACAGAATCAAAGAAAAGAATATGTAAAAAAATTTGTTCACATTTCATATTTGCAAAGAGTTCTTCGATTTCATCGTTTCTTTTCAGTGTTCTTGAAGGAAAAAATAATTGCCTGTTTCGGATTTAGAAATAATACCTTCCATATCACACCTATTTTAGAATGTTTTTCTATTCCTCTTTTATTAATTAATTTTTTGATTTATCATTTGTTTTGCAATTTTGCGGTTTTTGACCCGTTTTTTCTTTTTTCTTTCCCTTTTCATTGCTTTCCACTAATAATTCCTCTCTTCATGTCTTAACGATTTCTTTTCGTCTCTATGTTTTTCCTTTTCATTATTTTTTTGACATCCATTCTTTTATTCATTCATTCATTCATTCTTTCTTTCTTTCTTTCCGCTTACGGTCACATCATGTTGAAACACCGGTTCTCGTTTGATAACTGAAGTTAAGAAATATAGAGCCTGGTCAGTACCTAAATGGGCGATCTCTTGAGAATGCTGGGGGTTGTAAGCTTGGACGTGTGGGTGGTGTAATGGATAACGGTTCGGAATATGCAGAGTTCGAATTCAAGTCGGATTAATTATATTCATTTACGCGCAAATATCCCTGGGAAAAGTATGAATCCACCTTTCCTCCTCAGCTATGGGTCAAATAGTAGGATTTCTAGCGGAAAATAATAATTATCTCCCCGCTAAAATATTACAATAAAAATATTTCTGGGTTTTAAATAACCAGCAAAACGTTCATAAGCCATAATAGGAAATCAATCTTTCTTTTTAATCTAAAAAGACCTTTTTTTTTTTTTAAATTTATCTCTCCGTTCTTTATTGCTTTTTTTCTTTCATTTTTGTTCATCTCTTATATTCTATTCTTTTCTTTTTTATTTTCTTTCATTTTCTCTTTGCTCTGATCTATGTTTGTTTGTTTCTAGTTAACCTGAATCGATCTTTTTTTCAAAATTTTATTCTTTCATCTTTATTGTTTGTTCTTTCACTCTTGCTCTATTTCTTATTACCTTCAATTTTTCGCTTTTATTTTCATTCATTTCTTTTCTCTTCCCCTGATTTTTCTTCCTTTTCTTGTCTCTTTATTGTTTTTATTATATTTCTTCCAAAGAGCTCTTTCTTTTAAAATTTATCTATTACATTTTGATATTTTAGCTTCCTCGTTCTGCCATTCATTTTGCCAATTAATTTGTAAAGATTGTTTTGTTTTTATTCTCCTTTCTTTTCATTTTTTTTATTCTTCTTTTCTCACTTTTTGTCCGCTATGATTCTCTTTTCCTCTCGTTTTTCTCATTAACAAACGCACACGCGCGCGCGCGCGCACGCACACACACACACGCACGCACACACACACACACACACGTGTGTGTGTGTGTGTGTGTGTGTGTGCGTGCACCTTTTGTCGTTCTGACCCACCAACTATTCTCCCAAGTATTTCTTCATTTCTCGCGCATGTAAAAAGCCAGTGTTGATTTCTGATCCGGAAGATCCACTGTTATTTTATCTTTGATTCATCGCCTGACATTGCATCAAGTATTACAGAAAAAAAAAATGTGCGAAATCTCACCAGTTAAGTATCTTTCAGGCTTACGTCATATTTTCTACTCTCTCTCGAAAAGACAACAGAATTGACGCAAACCACAAGACTGTTGATCTGTTTACAACACAATCTTCGCCCGAACGGAACCGCGCCCTAATTACATAAATGCACGTCAAATGACCTTAACTGTATCAAGGTTACATTGCGTTCGATATATATATATATATATATATATATATATATATATATATATATATATATATATATATATATATATATATATCATCCACTTGTTTCAAATATTTCTTTCGTACTATATCTTTTCAGCGATTGCGTTACCTTCCTTGGCATCTAACGTTGCACTTTGCTTTTCACATGTCTCTTTCAATGCCTGCAACACGCATAAGGATATTAACACACATTTGCATATATTTACTAACCTAGGCTTAGTTCAGTGGGTATTTAAATAAGGAGAAAATGGACCAGGAAGACTGTATTGTTTAAATGGTGAGATAGTGCATACGTTAAAAATCAGTATTCGAAATTCAAGTCGCTAACGAAGCTTGAACCCCATCGGCAGAGTTGGTGGGAAAAACGAAGCCGATTATGTCACCACCTACATATATAGATTTCTAACTATATATTTCTGATGCTACTTCAGTGCAGTGCGTATATAAAGTTCCATTTGCATATTAAGATGAAATTCATGATGTACAACATTTAAAAACACATTCCTGTCCAACTTCACAATACAAGAAAATACTGGTTGGCAACACAAATATGCAACACCACGAAAATATTTGTCTATATTTCTGAGGTGAGGTGTAATGTACACTATTTACATTATTCGGAGTATTGTCTTTATCTTTGTTGCTATATTTATCACAAAGTTTCGGCCGTTGTACGCTGGGGCAGCCTGTTCTAGTTCCACGTGCCATGTCCAATGGATGTCAGTTATCAGTTATCGCCTTAACCAGGTATTGAACTCACAACTCCTTAAGGACACATGACACAGTGGATAAAGGCGTTGGTTAGATCCAGTGAAAGGACCCAAAGAGTTGTGAGTTCAATACCTGGTTAAGGCAGTGGAGAAATTCGAGAGGTCAATTAAGAGAAGATAACTGATAACTGACATCCATTAGACATAGCACGTGGAACTAGAACAGTCTGCTCCAGCGAGAGAAATAAAGGGTTCAGTTCGACATTCCAACCACCTGAAGAAGGCCGGAGCGTACAACGGCCGAAACATTGTGATAAATATGGCAACAAAGATGAGGACAATAGTCCGAATAATGTAAATAGTGTACCACGAAAATAATAAACAAAAATGTCAGACACTGGCGGCCCTTTATATCAAAAGCATCCAAGCAAAACTCACCAAAATTTATTACGAGTGTACCAGCAATTCAGATGATGTTGTAGTATCTGTTGACATTTTTTATGAATCGACTATTAAACAAGAAGCTTCTATTCACAACACTTCTTGTGTTACCGGTGTACTGACTGAGATAAATTTCGTGATTTTCTTCTCGACGCCACTTGGAGTGATATTTTTAATCATCCTATTGAGAATTGTGTGAATGATCCATGCTTTTGTACCTTCACGGAAATACCAGGTGAAACCACAATCTTCTCCCAGGTCCACACCTGCTTGTTCAGTCGCTATAGCCCACGAGATTAACTTATTTCCGGTTGTACGAGTCTGATATTTCCGATCACAAACAGACGCCTCGTAATAATTATAAACTGTCCTCAATGAAGATATGTATTTGCTGACAGAATGTATATAGCCTCTAACAAGTTTGGTTCTCATGACTACTGTCGGCTCTGTAATAGTTTCTTAAACAAGAGTAAATCTTTTATCTCTCCTCTCTTCACTCAATTTGAGGTGTTAACATCTTCTGTTCTTTGCGCATAAATTACCTTCTAATTCTATTTTTGACTAGTGTATCTTTGCCTGAATATCCAGTCTCTTTTGTGTGGTATGCATATAACTCTGCTCATGATTTCTGTCATAATTTCTAAACTGGATACCAACAAAACATGTGAACTTGATGGCATCAGTACAATTGTCAATAAGAAATGTGTTGCTAAACTGGCTTATCTTCTCTCTAAACTCTACTATAAATGCCTCACTGCTTCTTGCTTTCCTTTACAATCTTTAAGAACTGGGCTGAACCGTCTGATCCTTCTAACTATCGGCCTATCAGATTTCTACCAATTTTAAGCAATGTAGTAGAGGTTCTAATCAACTCTGAATTGGTTAATCATCTCACATCGCAGAGTCTTCTTTCAGACAAGCAATATGGCTTTCACATCTCTAGATCAACTGCTGTTGTGTTAATGTTTATTACTGAAGGAGTCTATCAAGCTTTAGCTATTAATCTAGAAGCTCGGAGTATTGCTTTGAATATCTCGAAGGTATTTGACAAGGTTTGGTATGTTCGTCTTCTTTACAAATTGCAAGGTTTTAGTATTTCTGAGTGAACTTTTGATATGATTCAATTTTTCTTATCAACTCATTAAATGATTTACTCTTCTAGATCTTTTTACATTGTTCCTAATTTTAATCAAGCACATTCCTGATGTCATGAGTTCTCAACTCGTCATCTATGTCGATGACATAAGTATTTACTCTTGTCTTAATGGTAAATCTTCAGCGAACTAAATAGATGAAAGGTCTGTGCGTTGACACCGCAACTAACGAAAGATGTTCGCTACACAATCCAACATTGAATATAACGACCTAATGCGTATGTATTTACGCAAAGATACATGGATGCGCATATATGCCCAGTCCCACACTGTTCACATATGTTTATTTTTGTGTGAGCTCCAATGAGAGAGCGTGCGTGTATGTATATCTGCGTACGCCAATGAGTGAACGTCCGTGTATATATGTTTGCGTAAGTATGAGTGGCGTTCCGACGATAATTTCTCCTTCCAGTTTCATAAAACACCGATATACGCAATCATATATAAATCCAAAATTTAAGAATTAATCAGTTTGTCTGACGATCGCAAATAGCGTAAACCCAGGGTCACAAACTCACATCAATCCAACTATATATATATATATATATATATATATATATATATATATATATATATATATATATATATATAGTTGAATCAAAGGTAATTTCCATTTTAGAAACCATTTGTAATGACTAATAGCTCAGATGAACTATCTATTCCTTAAATATATCATGTGAGTTATTGAAAAATGCGTTAGACACAACAATGCTCAACGTAAGCGGAAGAGGATTGTGAAATCCTCTTCTGTTTACGTTGGGATATTATGTATTTAAAGTTATTAAAACACAATGAAAGACTAAATGCTCATTTTTGCTTTGTTCTACACCATTCGCTATATTTACCTGAACTTGCACACTGATTACATTGTGTAACACAAATTGTGTCCTTGGATAGCAATTATTATTTCCTATTTGCTTACGCATAGAACGTATGAAAAATGGCTAATATATCCTTCACACTTTGCTTTGTGATCAGAAAGTGTGCATCATGCGGAAGAAACAATTACTTGAGTAGTCAGTTGGTTCTCTCCAGATTTGTGAAGATTGCGAATTTCATGGCTCTATTTTCACCCACTTTCCCGCAAAAGGGCAAAATAAAAATATATGACTATAAAAATACAAATATATTTCACCTAGTGTTATTGAAAAATTCTAAAAAATTACATTTTTGATAATTTCTAAAAAATCTGCGCTGGATATGTAAAATTCTGACTTTTTCCCCAATCAATGTCGCAAATACAACAAAAATACGGTATCTTGAATACTGAACATCCCATTCCGTATTTTTTCTTGCCATTGATCCAGTATAGAAAACATTCCTGATACTGTGGGTACAAATGTGCGATTGTGGAAAAATTTAATACATATTTTTCAATAACACTGGTTTAAAAAAAAATAATTAAATTAAAAGAAAATTCCAAAACTTTTA